TTTCCTCTTACAAATTTACAATTACATAAATATGATCCACCAAGTCAATTTGCTTCTTCTCGCAGCTGTAAGGCGAATCTTCGATATTTTTGGTTGAAAAGTATCTGAACTCTTTTGTAATTTTCACCTGACTTCTTTGAAAGTTGATGGTCAATCAAACGCCACAAAAATGAGTCCTGAATTAGAGATCAGCTGGTTTGAACGCTAGGTTTTGTTGTTGTCGTACTTAGTTGATAGCTGGTTAAAAACTTGAGTATTAAAGCAATATGTATGCTTTTCGAAGGTCTAATATTTTATTATTTACCCTCAAATTTTCAAACTCATTTCAATTATAGATGGAGACCTGAAAATTCCTAATATGAAGCATCAATAGACAGCAAGATCAAGTTTTCTGTCCATGCATTCTATTCTAACTTGTTCTTGGTGTTATTTGATTCATAGAACTGCATATCAAGGTATCACATAATCAAGGCTCTTAGCATGTAGGTGATTGTCTTGATTATGTTATAGTTTGGTATGACACATTATATGGTATGATAATCATGCAATGTTTTAATTGTTTTAAGTCAAACATAGTAGATATTCTTTCTAACATGTGGTAATTTGATAGTGGATCATATATCCGTGAGTTCGTCCAAAAAAAAAAAACAATCCATCCATAAGTTCTCTATTCATTTCACTTGTGAAAATCACAATTTGACGCATAAACAAAAATTTATGTACACGTATCAAAATATAGAAAAATATGAGTTTTTTTTTTCTTTGTCAATAAAATCTGAGTTTTTTTAAGAGAAATAAAATATGAGTTCTTAGGAGGCAAATGTTTTTAAAAAAAAAAAAAATAGTGAATTTTTGCCAGTTTTCATCTCGCATCCCCACTCGCCACTCTCCTCGTCAGTCTGTCACCGTCTTATTACATGGTTGGTCTGTTGGTTCGCTAAGCATTTGTATCTGCTGACTCCGTTTCACTTTCATGGCGTTTCATGGTGCTTTGCATTCGCTGCGATCTCTCAGCAGGGCGCCCAGGTACCCTTTGTCTTACCTTGTTCGTTCACCAATTCCATCCTCTCTCTTTTCAACCCTTTACGCTCAATCAAATTCATTGCACGATGAACATCGGATCAAGAACCAATCTACTCTTGACGAAAGTTTTGTTCTTGATCAACTCTCTAATCTGCTGCCAATTTGCCGTAGTAATAGTTCAACTGCAACCCTATTTGAACCCAGTAATTCGGATAAGCAGATAGAAATTAGGGCCGTTGATGGATTTTTATTGCCCGACGAGAAATTACGTGGGGTTTTTCTTCAGAAATTGAGGGGTACGGCTGCAATTGAGCATGCTTTAGACAATGGTGGTGTGGATTTGAGTGTTGATGTTGTTGCACAAGTAGTGAATAGAGGGGGTTTAGGTGCAGAAGCAATGCTTGTATTTTTTAATTGGGCGATTAGGAAGCCCACCATAGCTAAAAATATCGAAACTTTCCATATAATCCTCAAAGCATTAGGCAGAAGAAAGTTCTTTACACATATGATGCAAATTTTGCATCACATGAGGGCCCAAGGTATAAGACCCAATTTAGAGACCATATCGATTGTAATGGATAGTTTCGTGAGGGCTCAACATGTGTCTAAGGCAATCCAAATGTTCCGAAACTTGGAAGAAATTGGTTTGGAGTGTGATACTGAATCTTTGAATTTGCTTTTGCAATGTCTTTGTCAGAGATCCCATGTTGGTGCTGCAAATTCGTTTCTGAATTCAGTCAAGGGGAAGATACAATTCAATGGTAATACATATAATATTATTATTGGAGGGTGGTCAAGACATGGCAGAGTTAGTGAAATCGAGAGGATTTTGGAAGCAATGGTAGCAGATGGATTTAGTGCTGATAGTTCAACTTTCAGTTTCATTCTTGAGGGTTTAGGGAGAGCTGGTCATATTGATGATGCTGTTGAGATTTTTGATAGCATGAAGGGGAAAGGTTGCATGCCAGACACCAGAGTTTATAATGCTATGATTTCTAACTTTATCTCTGTTAGAAATTTTGACGAATGTGTGAGATACTATAAGGGTATGTCGAGTAATAGCTGCAATCCAAATATTGATACTTATACCAAATTGATTGCTGCTTTCCTTAAAGCCCGAAAAGTAGCTGATGCACTCGAAATGTTTGATGAGATGTTAGGTCGAGGACTTGTTCCCACTACAGGGACAATAACCTCCTTTATTGAACCCTTGTGTAGCTATGGTCCACCCTATGCTGCTATGATGATCTACAAGAAAGCAAGAAAGGTTGGATGCAGAATATCACTGAGTGCTTATAAGCTATTGCTTATGCGACTTTCTAGGTTTGGTAAATGTGGAATGTTGCTAAACATTTGGGAAGATATGCAGGAATGTGGATATGCTTCAGATAAGGAAGTTTATGATTATGTAATTAACGGACTTTGCAACATAGGGCACCTTGAAAATGCTGTACTTGTCATGGAAGAGTCTTTGCAGAAAGGCTTTTGCCCAAGTAGGCTCGTTTATAGCAAACTAAACAACAAACTACTTGCTTCAAATAAAGTAGAGAGGGCTTATAAGCTATTTTTAAAGATTAAACATGCTCGTCGTTATGACAATGCACAGAGATTTTGGCGTTCTAAGGGATGGCATTTCTGAATTGACATCTCAGCGGTGGCACGTAAAGATGTGTTGTGTGCCCTTTGTTTTCCCTCCTACAGCAAGTTATGGACTTACCCACTGGAAGAGTGTTCTCACTGGCAGATCCACCAAGGGGAAAAAGGGGTCTATTGACTCCCTGGTTTAATTTGCGTCCCACAGATTTGAGGTGTCTGCCCCTGCGGTTCTTGCTTTTGTTCCCTAAGAGGTGTTGGACAAAATGCCTGAAAGAGGGAGAATGAATGATAGGCGACTTCACTTAACCCCCATGAGGACTGAGAGCTTCTTCATCTTGCCTCATGAGGAAAATTTCCAGGATCCCTTCTGGCTGTTCTAGTAAGCACGTCTGTGACCCTTTAAATTATTTGTTATATTGCCTGCTTTATACCGTAAGAATGCTCTTACTTTGAGCATTCACAAATTTCAATCCAAAATATATTGTTTTGTTATTAAATTAATCCAAGATTTCTTTTTCAAGTTTTTCAGTAGCTCACAATGCAAAAGGTTCTATAAATGCAACTTGTTTGATTTTTTTTTTCCTTATTAATGTTTATTGCAAGCAGATGAACATTATCAGACAGTGGGTGTCAAAGTGGCTAAAGAAAACTCATTAGTGGAGTTAAATTCCTTTTTCAATGATATCAGTATTTGCTGTATGTTCCCACTTGTATTTATTTATTTTTTTCTGATTCTTTTTCATTGGGCAAACATCGAGTATTAACAGATTGATTAACGTTCTTGCAGGAAGGGTAACCAAGAATATGGTTACTGTATTACAGAGTTTTGACCATAATGAGGAAACTATTCATTCTATGGCTCAAAGTAAAGGATTTAGACGAGTGATATATCAGATATTGAAGTTGAAGTTTGATTGTTTCAGACAGAAAGAGACCTCAAAGTGTCCTTGATGTAGAACAGCTCCTGTGTCTTGAGACCTCAAAGTGCCCTGTGTCTTGAGACCTCAAAGTGCCCTGTGTCTTGAGACCGAACTTGCCGTTTATTCTCTGCAATGTCATGTTTATTCTCTTGCTGTGTTCATGCATAATCAATGGGTGATAAGAAAGACACTAAGAGTGATGCCATGGCTCTAGATCTTCCAGGGTCATGAGACCCACTCATGATTACTCTTCGCCTATCACTGACAAGTTGGATGGCGCAAACTTTGCCTCTTGGTCCAGAAGTGCTCAATTGACAGTCACTGGTAGTGGTACGGTGGGATATATTGATGGAAAAAAGACTGCTCCACAAGCAGATGGTGATGCCTATTCCATATGGGAGGAAGAAAACCGGTTGGTCCAGTATTGGCTTCAAGTCTGTGAGTGTGCAAAATGCCAGGGCAGATGTGTTCTTATTTGTTGAGGAACCTGTTGATTTTGCAGTATGCATCTCATTTGTGGTTTTGAAAGTGAAATCAGTGACCAGTTACCTGCTTGTGCAATACCAATTCTTCTATCGCCTTTTAAGTTGATTAATGTTACATTACAAGTAAGATTCTTATCTTTAGTCATGTCCATTGCTGAAGAATGAGCTAATCATTTGCCACTTTTACCGGAATTAACCAACATAGTTGTTCCTGTTAACCCTCAAATTTTCATAATTTTTTGTTTGAAAGTTAGAGGTTTGAATGATGCGTAATAAAATTTTAGTCATGATTTGTACTTGTTTTGAACATAGCAATTTTTGTTTTATGCTTTTCCATGTAGATGCTCATGCCTTGGGCTTGGTGTGAAAAAACTACAGGAAAAGTTTCTGAGTTTCCTAATAACATACCAGCTTGAGCAGTTGCATTTGCCCCTTCAGGTATTTCGACTAGGAATTTAAGACAGCAATAAGGATTTTGTTTTTCTTTCCATTAGGTAAAAGGTTGGCTTCTAAAAACTACGGGGCAGTGCCTCCTCAAAGCAAATGGGATTTTGACACTTGTTAAATACCAAAACAAAGAAAGTTAAAAGAATTTCACAAAAATAAAAAGTTAAATGAAGTTGATGGGTGTCAAAATCATGTTGTTATGAGGAGCTCCTACTGAGTTTTAAGAAACCAAGCTTTTTCCGTTGTGGAGGTACTATTGATTGAATATGATAGATGAAAAATTATCATATGTTTCAAAATCATTTCAAAACATGGGACCTATTGAACCCAGAAAAGGGAAAAATATCAAAAAAAATCTTACGCCCCAAAGAATATTAGCAAAAATACAACTTTTTTATGTATACATGTAAATGTTTGCTAAGTAACGTGTGTTTCATATGTTTCATCCACAAAAGCCTTCTCTACTATAAAATACTGTCCATTAAACTCAAAATGATACGATTATATTCAAGCACAAAAATAGGGAAAATTAACTACATCATCCAACTACTTCAAATCTTCAACACGATGGTAATGCCTTTAGATCAGTGGAACGTCCATATTACCAATCAAAATTTCCAAATCCTGCAGAGAAAAAACAACCATTTAAGAAATAAGAACAATATTTGTTCAAAGATGTCATAAGCATGCTTGTGTATGTAGTATTGTATCTGATTGTAAGTGTGACGCAGGCACGTGATTCCATTGTACTACAATAGCAAAACTGCTAGAAGGTTTCATCCTTTCTATCAGACTCTGTATCCAAGAAAAGAAATTCAGTACCTAACTCGGGACTTTGAAGGTACATATTTTCCGCCCTCGGTGCAGAGTTGTCAAGGGACATGATGTCCTCTGGTTTTGTCTTTTCATCCCTGGGAGATTCAACTTCTGGCTCTGCTTCTGATTCTCCATTGTTTTGTGCTGGCACAGATTGCTTTCTTTTTGAACGAGCTCTCCTGTTCTGGAACCAGTTGTAGACATTTGTTTCAGATATCTGGCCATGTTGTGTGAGTTCCATGGTTATCTCTTTGATCTTCTGCTTGCATGGAGTTCCAGTGCCTTCCTCGAAAATCCGCTCAAGCATTTGAAGTTGCACAGGTGTTGGGGTCCAGCGCTGCCTTGCAGTTATCTTATGGCCACCAGATGCCATGAATGGATCACAATAAAAATTCCCTAGTCTCATTCCTGAACCAGAAAAATCGATGATTATGGGAAGTGGATGCCCATACCAAATAAAATAATTCATTTCTGCAAAAACAACTTCACAAAGTTGACAAAATTTTGAATATTTGTAAACAATAGAGTATGGCTTTCACTTTCGCTTAGATGCCATAATTAGAACCACCAATACAGTAGTCCAAATTAGGTGAATACAATCAAATGAAAGAGAAGGACTTAGAATTAACAGTAAGCTGTTTTAAAGAACAAATATGTTCAAACTACCACGGAATCCCCTCAAAATTGAAATGAAAAGGTTCATAAACAAAGAAACTGGGCTTGAACATTGATTCTAGGGCAGTTATCTTCTGGTCACTGGATGCCATGAATGGATAGTAATAAGAATTCCCCATCCCTCATTCTTGAATCAGAAAGACTGATGATTGAAGGCAATGTAAGTCCAGACCAAATACAATAATTTCTTTGACAAAACCCTTCACAGATTGACATAAGTTTGAATATTTGTAAACATGATAGGTTCACTTTCCCTTAATACTTTCATGTCATAAATAGACCCAGTAGTCCAAATTAAGTGCTTTATGTCATAATCAAACAACAGGGCAGGAAACGGTGATTCTTGCGCACAATACTCAAGATTAGAAGAAATGATGGAAATTGCTCTATTAAGTTATGAACCATACGAAGCCATATATGCTAAGGACTGGGAAGATGAAGAAGAAGAGAAGAGAGTGGAAGCAAATGGGGCAAATGCGCAGGAACTGCCGGACCATTGGTACATAGAGAACCCAGAAATCAGAGAGAACAAGTACACCCATTTCCACCATTATCACAGAAATGATAACCTCAGATACAAATTGGACAACTTAAAAGTAACAAAGAAAAAGATTGGAAAACAAAATGGAGTTTGTATTAAGGCATCTAAATAATAGCTTTTCTTTTACTTGATAAAATTTAAAGAACAGAAAACTAAGTACATAATCGTCATATGCTTCACCGAATTCCCAAAAAGAAAAAGAAAATGAAACAGTAAAGCAAAAAGCATAAACCCCAAATTGGCACAGAAAAAATATTATCAAATCTCATGAAATAAAATTACGCCAACAGGAACATTAATGATCGATCAACCATGGCAATAGCAATTAAGAAACAAACTCAATTGTATTGTACCAACAAAAAGCAAAAAGAAACAAACCCAAGTGAGAGAGAGAGAGAGAGAGAGAGAGAGAGAGAGAGACCAGAAAGATCCTGTTGAGCAGTGACGGCCTTGTGCATCTCAACAAGCTGCTCACAAATGGTGGCGTAGACAGCGATCTGTCGCCTCAGCAGCTCCATTTGCTCGTCCGTCATCACCTTCACGTACAACCCTCCATTCCCATTTCCAATCCCATCTTCTGGGTTTTGCAAATGGTGGATTATTTGCTGTTGATTCTGAATCTGCTGCTGCTGCTGCTGCTGCTGCCACTCCATCATTCTTGCTTTCTACTTTGCTTTTTCTTTGCTTTTTCTTCACCTAGCTTCGGCGTTGGCTTTGGCTTTAGGCAGCTGCTCTAACCATTTTCTGACTTTGTTGCGTCTTTGATTGACTCACTGACTCGCTTTAGAGAGAGAACTGTAGAAGTATAGAAATTGAGAGTAAAGGTGAATGGGGGAGCGAATGTTCTTCTTCTCGAGTCAATGGGTGTCTCAGGAAACCTCCAAAAAGTGAAGTATTGATTGAGGAAGTTAAAGCGTGAACAACGGAATTCGAGTCCCTGTATTTTAGCATGTAATTGCTGCGGACTTTGTAATAATTTCCAGTCCGTTTGCTTTTCGAAACCAAATTTAGATGCCAAATCATGTGTTATATGCCACCTCATCAATTTATGTTAAGACCAAGTCCTAGGCCGAAAGTCAAAATTGGGAAATTTTCTCCTAGATCAGCTCCTGTCTTAGTTTAAGATTTAAGAGCTCAGGAATGGCTATGAAATTGCATTCTCATGTTTGATAACTGCATTATATAAAATGCAATATCTAACTCATGAGCATGGATGAATGAACTCCCCCCTCGGAGAATTTCATAATTTAAACATGTAATGCCCAATTTTTGAAATTCTTACTTAAATGTCGTATATAAATACTCCTTATTTGCCAATTAACACATTTTTTTCACTTTCTTTTTCTTATTCTAAAATCTCTCTCTCTCTAGTGGAGCCCCCAAATTGTTCATGGCCTATTGCTAAGGAAGGTTTGTGCAAAGACAATCAATATCATTAAGGGAATCTGTTTCCTCGTTAGTAGACATTTGATACACAGTTCACGAAATTTTTGGTCTCATCACAAGCCTATGGTTTAGGAAGCTGCTCTTTCTTCCCAATGTAACAAAAGAGAACTGTCATTCGAAGAAAAAGTATTTTCGGGAGAATACATTCGCCACCCTCTTTGAACAAGAACAAGTATTCAAGGCTTGCACAGATGAGGATGATATTTCCAAGTTGTCGTTACTCTATTGAGCAGTCTTCGTACTATTCGGTACTCAAAAGCATGTTAACATGGATATGAGATTTTGAAGTTAGTTGAAGACGTGGCTGAGTTCGAGAAGTATCCTTGGGACAATGTTATATTCAAAGACGCATGAGCCATTGTCGAGGGATCTTTGTGATGAATTACTACGAAATAAAGGACACCCACCTCTAAAAGGTACGACAATGACAAGAAAAATCCGACCATAACATAGCATAACCCATTACCCCAGCCCCCACCAAGTGCACATTAGTTCAAGTCCAGAAGATCCATTGACTTGGTCTTTTTCCTTGCTACATGAACCAGGCTGTGATGAACCATGCCATCTCCACTCCTGTTCAGAACTTGCCAAACACTAAACTCTTCAATCTCGCTCCAAGTGAG